GAAAGAACCCCGGTACCCATTGTAGAGGAGGCTGGGTGTGCCCCAGAGCCGGTCTGGACGCAGAGGCTAAAGGTAAAATCCTCAGCCCCCGTCGGGGATCGAACCCCGGCCGTCCAGCCCGTAGCTAGTCATTATACTGACTGAGCTATCCCGGCTCATATATTTCAACATATATTATGACAATATGTCATTTTCTAAATATGAAAAGTAAAGATAATGAAAATTCGCTGTTAGTTTTCAGTAAAATTGGCAGTAGGGGTTTCTTGACTGTTGGGTACAATGGGAAAACTATTCTTGGCCTGAGGCAGGAAGACGTTGGACACCCTAATCTACGTCACAGAAGCACAAAATCTGCTGTACTTTCCTTGTGTATCCCTCTGTCTTACGAAGGCCGTTTAAAATCGATGTGGCCGATAAAAACGTGATGTAATGCAGGAGTATACTCAAAATAGGACCTGTATAAACGATCAGTGAATTATTATCCGCAAAATTAATTGAGTCTATCCGTTGGGGCTCCCGGATCTCGAGGCAACAGAAGAGAAATTGCGACTGCAAAGAAGACGATACTTCAGCGTTCAATTTATCAACAGAGATATTTTATACTTCACCAAAAGATCACAATTAGACACACAGTTGCAAATTTTAACTTATATAAAAACAGACTAGAATATTCATGATGTGGTTTCTGAGTTTTGAAGATGTTTATTCTTCAAATGTTTCCCTTCCCACGCTACTTATTTTTATCACACAGATAAAAAGTTGTTAAAAAGAAACTACAGGACTTCGCAATGTCAAAACATAGAAACCCACAACCAGATATCACATAAAAAATTCAGTTCTAAGAAAGAGAATATTACTTGGTCTGTTTCTTAGTTACAATTGACTTTAACAAAATAATTACGTTGTAATACGACACGTCCGCTGCTATGAACGAGATATATAGCTTTCAAAGTGAACATTATTCACTGTCATCTACGGAATGTGATGTTAGTAAAAATATATCGTCCTTCAATCTCTTGAAACGTTTTCCAACATTTCTTTCCTTCCTCTAAAGTAAATTTACAACTTCCCTTGAACTTACACAACAAAAGTGCAGTTTGTGGGTGAATATAAACGAAATATGCAGCCTCCCTGGCATTAGAAGAAAACAATTAGTTTTACAATGACTTAAGTTGAAATCCAATGAATTCGAAGTAAACTACGCGTAGCTGTAGAGTGACAAACGCTTAAAAATTTTGGAAGGGAACCCTGAAGACCTTGTGGGAAAAATATTATTAAAATTTCTCTTCAAGATATAGAATATGAAGATATACACCGCATTCAACAGGATCACAATTAGGCCAAGTGGCGGACTCAAGAGCACGATAATCAATCTTAGGGTTTCATAAACGCAGGGAATTTCTTGATTATCAACGCCTCAACACCTCAAGAAGAACCCTTTTCTATGAAGCCAGATTAGTAGGCTAATTGTGAATGGTATCCTTCATACACTTTTTGCTAGTTACTTTTGATTTGAACAAACCATTGGCCACATCATGACTTCGTTTTATACAAGAAGGTTTGTGTAATGAGCGGTGCCAAAACAAATAGAATACGGAGTAAGAGGCAAGAGTCAGGAAGTTAAAAGTTACGGCTGGCATCGCAGTTAATTCTGCCTGCAACCTGCAGTCGCGTAATCACGTGCAAATATCGTGCCTCTGACTCGCTGAGTGACATCACAGAATGCGAAACAATATTCTAATCTGTAATCTGATAAAGTGTAACAAGCTCATGTTTACAGAATAAATAAGTAATTTACATCAACAATCCAAAGTCCAGTGGAAATTAGACGCAACACTTTTCAAAATCAGTAACTGCATTTCAGATTAATTGGTCCAGAGCGAGTGTCAATGTAAATATAAATTATCTCAAGTAACAAATTTATCTTCGTGTTTTCTTTGCTGTACGGAATGCATTTTTAAATATTATACACACCAGCTTGCCTTTGACTGTTAAATAAAAGAGAAACGAACTTTTTCTATTAAACTCAAGGCAAGACGTTATAAATTTATAAATTCAAAGATAATATAAGTTTAACAATATAATAAAACAATATTAAGCCTTGAAACAAAATAAAAAAGTTAATTTATGGAAACCTTTAAAGAACTACGGGCTTTAAGTCAGAAAAGTGACACTGCTCTGGCTAGACGGTCGACGTGTGATTCTCAGGGCCACCTCAGATTTTTACCTATTTCCTACACAGTTGTACCGTGAAACTCACTACCCACTTCTATCCGCAGCCCAGGCAAATAATACTTGCAGCTTTCATAGCGTGATAAGGTCTAACAAGGAACGCTGCTGATGATGGAGGCAGCAAGCACCTCGAAATCCCCGGCAAATGTCTATCAGGCTACACGGCGCAACAACCTTGAAGACAGCCACATTCATTGTGATGGTACACGTTCAAGAACTTATACTAAACGTATTTGTTCCGTTCAAAAAGAAAAGGGCCTTTCGATAGTCGATTATTTCTTTCGAGATAAAAACCTAAAACAAAGCGAGAGAGTAAAATATAGGGGATCAAATTTCCAGCTACAAAATCGATTTCGTGGAAAATGTATAGGAGCCGTGGGAAGAACTTACTTCTGTATAAATCTTCGGTGATCTGCAAGAAGGACTTAAGTGAACGTAATATGTATTGACTTTAAGACTTTCTTTCTGAACGCCAAATAAAATAATCTGGACGTTAGACCGGTTACCAAGAAGAAAGGGGCTTCGAGAAACAATTTAGACGTGACGTTGGATTCGTGATTGATGAGTGAGGTTTATGAAAAGAGGATTACCTATCTCACTATCAAGTGCATTGTGATAGATGATTCCCGCTTTAGTGCACCTACGGTTTATATGTCCTCCCCCCCCACCCCGTATTCTGAATCACCATCATCATTGTACGGTCGTAAAAAGAACTGAAAAATTAAGATCTAGTTGGTTTGTTTCATATTAACAACTTTACTTTTCGAGACATTGTTGCAAACAATTCAATAATTCCAATAAGAGATAAAGGAAATTGCAGCAAACATTGTTAAAACTCTTTATTTACTACTGCTAAATAACTCGTTGGTCTTGTGTTAAGTTATCGCCGTTCACGTGTAATAGAAAATAAATATGTAATTTATTTCATATCGTTAAAATTATTCCCAAGAGAAACGAAGTGACAGAATGTTGGAAAATATTTCAGAAGTATATTCACTTTAACTACTTCGTGCAAGGAACACATAAAATAAATTAAGCATGAAAACAAATTCTACTGAATATTGACTCAAAAACTACAAGAACATAACCGGGATATAAACGCTGTAACAGAAATTGTATCATGGGATATAATGAACACACCCGATCGATGTTCTATTGTTTATTACGTTCGTCCAATGGGAAACTAGGACCCGCTGATTGGTTAAAATTAGTTGCAGTGAATGAGGAGGTTAAGACTTCATTTCTTGGAAAAATGTATAAATATTGACGGCAATAACTATAAATTTGTAAGTAGAATTATTTGTTTATTTATAGCTTAAATACGTCAGTGAATAAAATTAATTCGCAATATAACAATTTCGTGAAAGAATCGTGCTTTCAAGAAGTTTATATTGCAACACAACAACTATTAACATAACCTTAATTCTGTCAGTATGTCGTTGACGTAAAAGAGAGTTAGCAAATTAATTTCCACGTTCGTCTTTCAACAATGGACGGAAGTGAGTGCTATTGTCCTTCATTTTCAAAACATATTGTTTTTAATTCTGTAACAGTAAGAGGCAAAAGATGTTAATACACTTATGGACCAAGCAATGAATACCATTGTTTATCCACCACATGTTTTAATAGATAAATTTGAGTGCGTGTAATCAGTTTCAAGCTCGGGAAGATTTATCGGTAGTACGAACTGAATATAAATCTGAATGGGCTCTAGAATGTGTAAGCCTAGATGTAGGGAAGGACCCCACCCCCCACTTTTATGAGTGATTATTATAAGCACTGCCTTTCTTTGATGTGTTGAAAATAGTAATTTAAAAATTGTATTATGCTACTATAAATATTGAAAAATAGGTAATCTGAAAGAATGAATATGCTATTTTAAATTCACTTATAAATAATCTTATAAAACAAGTCCTAATATCCCTGTTTAGAATCCGAAAGATAATTTTAACTTGCAGTGCCATGTGTAATAAAGCCTTGCAAACAAAAATGACCTATAACGAATTTTGGAAATATGTGCATGTCTGTGTGCCTCCCGCAATTCTTTTGGAATTTTTGGACAGTGCAAAGAAATAAATGTTCTGCTGCACACGGCCAGGTACATCATACCAAATGATGCAAAATAAATATAATGAAAAGTGCAGATAATAAATGTAGAACGTGACAGTACGTTTGATGAGAAGGTTCATTTTCTGTTGGATCAGGATAGCCAATGTGTCTAAACGACCAACTAACATTTCGTCCGGAACGTTTCTGTTCTTCACTTTTTTGAAAATATTTTTTTATGAAGATTACTGTCTCCTGGGATACTACGCAGTGCAGTCTGCTAGAAACTGTTCGACGTTTCATAGGTGATTAATGCCTCTACCACCACAGTGTTGATGAAGGCATTAAGCATATCTGAAACGTCGGTAAATTTCTATTACACTGCACGGCGCAATATCCCAGAAGATAGCCACCTTAATACTTGTAGCCGTCAGAACCTGTAATTTCAACATATTTTTCTTTGTTTTAACATTCGTTTTTATTAGAAAAATTTAGTAAAGTTCATTCAAAGTCGAACTTGAGAAAAAAATTCTTTCGGTGTAAACAATTAGGTTAATTCTTGAGAGAAATTACTTCACGAAGGGTTTGATGTCCTACCAAGAGAGGATTCAACTGGCATCTCCAAGAGAAGAATTTTCTTTGTTTTCATTACATGGCGCAAAGAAATTATGACTTTCAGATCCAGTCGAAAATGTATGAAGGAAACGGGTGGCGCAAGTGAATCGAGATAATTACCGAAAGTTACGATTAGAACCAAAGACATGCGACTTCTGTAATTTTGCAGGGCGCATGCGTTGTACGTGCCCTCTCGGAGTGCTGATCCCCATAGTCGGGGAATACGGACATTCCTGCCTGCAACAACGTGTCTAATAATTTGAAACGACGACAAATTCTTATAAGCATGAGTGGGTCAGAGAATTTAACAGGACCGAAAAGTACACCGACTTTTATGAAAACTGTAGTATCTCAGAGGGGCAAACACCGATCAAGTAAGAGACCAGACCCGTCAAAGTACGTCGAACAGTCAACATCTACAAGGGAATACCCGGAATCCACTCCTAGAACAACAGAACACCAACAGAATAAATCACGATCACGTCCACGCAATGTAAAGCCCGTTTCAACACGTGACGCCAATGTCGATTATTTCAAAGTCATAGATAAGACAGCCGATTCAAAAATAAGTTCACCAGAATGGCATACATGTGATAAAAACACTTCAACAATAGATTCTTCAAGTAAATTATTAATTTCAGAAGGCATATCCATCAGTGACATCCACAATTCATCAACTCACATGACGAAACAACTGCAGATTTCTTCATCAAAACCCCCAGTGGGTTCTCCTAAACCGAATTTCAAATCCTCTTACACTTTATCAGACTCGAAAAACACCAGAAAAGATGAAATACCAGGCCATTTAGACCCTGGACCATCAGTCCGTGAAGAGGAGGCACATGTCACAACATCATACACGTCTAAGACAAATCTTGGAATAACCAGCAGTCCTAAATCTGCAATTAGTTACAGAGGTTGTCCTTCGACTTCAACACATACAAATTTGTTAGAGACGGGTACAATCACAAAACATCCTTCACAAAAGCGAGTACCGACAGAAAACAGAGATTTAAATCATTTAACAGCTGCAAAGTCCAATTCCGTTGACAACAGATGTGTGTCTGATTCTAAGAGCAACTCAATCGAAAATCATAAAACACAGCAATCACTTTTTGGAGAACATCTATCAAATAATACAAAATACAATGAATCTAGAAGAAATGATAACAACGACGGCATTTTTGAAGAAAGCAATGCTAAGGACCTGATTCAGTCAGAGATATTACAACAACCGGATTCAGTGTCAAAGGGTCAAACACACTTTCGGAGACGACTAAACTACAATGACGGATGGTTTGAGGAAGTCAATAAGCAAGCAGTCCCTCAGAACACAGAGCAAGACAATGACATTCAAATTGACGATGGAACAAATTTTAGCATAATACCCAGACCTCACGAGTATTCTACAATCGGAACAAACACAGGTATGTTTCTTAGATTTTTTCCTTACTGATTCATTAATGGATAAGTTATACTGTCCGTCAAACAATAGATTTAAAGAGTTTAGCGCCGAGCAGGTTTTCCCTAGGTAAAAATTTCCAACAATCGAGACCGCAAACACAAAACCTGCAACAACTATTTTTTATTATTTTGCCAATCGATTTCTCATATTGACCCGGACATATGGGACCACCTGTATATACTGTTCGCGACTGTAATCTTGAGACTTGCAAGGAATGCAGGAAGTCTGAAGCGTTAAAGGCTGGCGCTGTCTTGCCTCCTTCCTCCTTCACCCCACTTCCTCACCCCCGCAAGTCTCAAGATTACAGTCGCGAACAGTAGGTCCTCGCTCGTCCAGTGGAGCCAAAAGTTAACATTCACGAATTGATAGTATGAAGGCGATCAAACGCACCAGAAATGTTATTGCATGCGCATGTTTCTGTGCTTATTAAAATGTGCTAAGTCACTGAATTTATGGACTGTGTTTTCAGGTAAAAGCCCGCATCGCAGCCTTTCTTCGGCAATAAATATGCGGGATAGCGGTGTCTCCAGCGGCCGAAAGAGTAATTTAAGTCGCTTCGCCACGTCCGAAACTAGCACCGCAGGAGATTCTTGTATTGGACGTTCCGAAACGTCGGAACACGCGCGCCGTTTTGTTACGGCAGGAGACGCCCAGGCCACTAAAAGTCAGCTGAGTCATTCTCACGATCCGATGACGAGAGACGCCTTGGACAGGCCGAGTATTACAGACGACGAAGATGTTGGGATACTGTGTGATGCAAATGACGATTCGACAAGACGTGACAGAAGCTGGGAAAGAAAAAACGTTGGAAACCAAATCGCAGAGGAAGGCAATCATCAAAAAAAGAATTGTACCAGCGAATCAAAATGCCATGATGATACAAGTAGGAAAGGCACTTCGATACAGCCACGAAGACAGGGCGAACGACGCGCTTGCATGGAAAAAGACGACGCCTCGGATGCACTAGAGGCTTATTTGGATAGAGAGTCAAACCCATCATCAAAAAGACGGGAACCAACGAAAAAGGAATATTTATGTCACTGTTGCCACAGTTTCGTGTCCTGTTCGACATGTTGCCACCCGCATATTTGGAAGCCACAGTCAGAAGAATGTGGCTGCTTCCGAAACAAATCAACTACTGACAAAGCTCAATTCAATCGAGAAGGGTGTAACTGTGCGTGTTGCAAATGCTATGGAGCCACAGGCACGATTGAGTGTCCTTACAAAGAAACTTATGCGGATTTTAACTGTTGTAGAAGTGGTTGTCACAAACACGTAAATATTTCAGTAGATGTTTTTAGTCCTTGTCGATGTTCATTTCATCCCTGCAAAGAACGTATGCCATTAACACGTTGCTTTCCGAATGCCACAGAAAAGACACAAGCCAAACGCATTCTTTATGATCTGCCGGAAACGTCTGAGAGTGATTCGGAAATCAGTGAAAGCAAGAAAAGAATACAGAAGGGAGTACACGAGACTCCGGTAACCCGCGAAGAGCCTGACAATGTTCCAGTAGTTGAAAACGTCGAAGAAAGAAGAGGGTTTTTTGTCTTTTCACCGTCGACAGAACGGGAAGATCAGGCCCGTGTACAAGACACGGTAAATGAAAAATCCTTAAACCTAATCCGTTAATCCGTTATGGCAAAGCTGAAAGCGTATCGAGCTCTGAACATCACAGAAACGACACGCGGCCCTGACCATTGCGCATAACACGGGTAGATCACCTTCAGATATTCTGTTCCGCGTTCTCAATTGAACAAAGAGTCAACTGTTTTTATTATTAATCATCAGTTCCACGGGGAAACAGCCCTCGACAGTCATTGCCAGGAAGGTGGGTGGACTTCTAAAGCTGGTCTGGACTTGGTGATAAAGAAAGCAGGTCTCTGCCTCCGCCAGGAATCAAACCCCAGGTGTCATGACCACACACTTCATTTAATGACAAGTTACAAAAGCGTGGAGCTATACCTTTACTCCCCCATACGCCTTCACGGCGCAGTGCTTGAGCACAGGAACGACTTCACTATTATTATATACTCCATATGATCATATCGTATGTATGTATATTTGCGTAACAGAAACATATACCTTTTTTAAACTAACTCCGCGGTACTTCTTGTAAAGCTAATAGCGGCTATATTAGTCAAAAAATACACCTTCTTTTACGGAACCACCTTGTCCATTACCGCGTTCACAACAGCGAATCTTTTAATCCTATCCTGCGCCAAAGAAATCAAGTCTACGTTTACAGCGAATCTTTTAATCCTATCCTGCGGCAAAGAAATCAAGTCTACGTCCCATTCTCTAACACCATCTTAACATTATCTTCCAATGAAAACCCACATTTCCGAAACTGTCTCCTCCAATCAGGTTTACTAACTTAAACCTTGAAAGCATTTCTCACTTCCTCCACGCCCCCACACCACCACCACCACCACTCATTCCATCGTCTGTGCATAATCCGCGATAATATTTTCCAAATAGTTTAAGAATTGAGTAGTTAAATGCCTATTATGATAGTGCTCGTGTTTCAGGAAGAAACAAAATTAATGAAACATAAAGCAGTGACGTCACACTACCGGCAACAACATAGACCCCTAAATATGGACGCCGTGGAAGACCATGGAAATGAAATTCAAGAAGTTGAGTTGCAAAACCACAGACCGGAGATTCCAGAACGCAGTCAGTTCAAGCGACTCACGTCGAATGACGCAGATACAATCAAGCAAAGTTTTACACGTGAGTCGAGTTAATATACAACCCCCAAAAAATCTGGTTATAGCAGCCCTATAAAAAGTCACCAGTGTCATCTGTGGAGACATTCGATTTATAATCTATACTATACAAGTGAAATATTACTTATCAATTATATAATCTCTTTCAAGAAATGAGTCCCAAATATTTATTAACATTAATAGAAGTCATCACCCTATTCAACCAATTTTTACGACAATCCTAGCACCAGACCGCACCATAAGACTTCTCCTTACAGATTACTTGGTTCAAATAATGACAATTTTACCGAATCTCCGAAGGAATTTATAACTCGTCATTCAAAACCAAGTTTAGTGAACACAGGTCCCTGTAACATAATGAATTCGGCCACTTTTAAAGTGGACTCTGCATACATTTCATCAACAGATTACTGTAACAAGTCTATGTTTATTACAGGTTTTCTTCCCGGAGAACCATCTACATCTTACGCTACAAAACCCACGTCTGTTACAGACTCACTACGTGGAGAGGAATTCTTTACATCTCATACTAAATATACGTCTAACGCAAATATTCCGCCTGAGGAACCATCGGCAACATTTTATAATAAATCAACATCTACCACAGACATTCCGTCTGGAACACCATCGGTAACATTGTTTAACAGATCCACACCAGCCACAAACACCCAACCTGGTGAGCCATCATCATTTTCTACTAAAACTTCGAATATAACGGGCACACAACTTGCAGAACCATCAACATCTTTCTTCAACAATTCTGTCAATACCACTAATTTTCTACCAAGGAATCAATCAAGTCCTTACTCTAATACATCTAGAAGTACCGACTATCCGCCTATGGAACAATCAGTATCATTCCTTAATAAGTCTAAACTCACTGACTCTCTCAGAGACCCATCTGTTTCTCATCTACACAAAACTTCGCCCATAACAGGTTCAGGTTCTGTGCCTGGAAAACTATCCACGTGTAAGGAGGAAACCCTACAGGAAATACCATTTCATACCAAGACAGGTTATCGTGAGTCAATCAAAGATGAATTTACTTACAAATTACCACACTCAAATGAGCCCATTGATCTCAGTTCTGGTAAGCAGACATCATCTCGCCACGTTTTCGCCACAAATCTCTCGCCCTCGGACCTATCATCATACAAAACGTCCCTTCAAGTTCTGAAGACGACAGGCAGAGACTCAGTCAATGCGTCAGTTGCGCCACACACAGAGTCAAAATTAACGAAATCCGGACTGGACTCGAAGTCACAAACATCCAGTCACAAAGGCTTTATATCTGAAAAATCTGGTCGGTCCATTTCAACTAGAGAATCAGTTTATAACGCGCACGTCGGAGCAGAAGCTGCTGCTGATATTACTGCAGGCACTGAACCTACAGACCATCCGGATCTCATATATACAGCGCACGAGACGTCAGAAAGCTACACTTACCCAGTTTCGCCGCATTTCAAATACTTGGAAGGACCTTGTGAGCAAGATGAAATTATGGAATTTCCTTATTCTCCAAACACTGATAACAGAAGACAGGCAGACATCACAGGTATTAGTTGTGGGTGCAAATCGCCGAAGAGAAATGCATCAGCCAGAACCGCTTCCGTAAGGGAAATCGAAACTCGAGTCGCAGACGATCCAGGACACACGTCAACAGAAAGATTGGATCGTTATGAGCAAACTATCGGTGAAGTGACACCTAACTTTACTTTCACCTCAATATCAACAGCAAATAGTACACTTGGAGAACGGATTCGTTCAAATAACGCAAAGTTATTTTCTTTGAGTCATATAAGTTTGGACGGGCGCAAAGACGGGAAAAAGATAATTGAGTTTGACGGCATTGCTGTGTTATCCAATAAAGGACAGACCTCCACTCCTCTTAGCAACACAAATACCTATAGAATTGGTAAAGATCGCGAGTTCGACCAAAGCGTAATAGAACCGTCAAATGAATTGACTGTCGAAGAATTTGTGTGGCCCACAAGTGAACGTTCCGAGCAGAGGTTATCATCAGAGCCCCATTCTCGAAACCGAAGTAAAGTATCAGCCGACTGCCGTAAGATTGGCGAGGAGCGTGATACGCCGAGAAACAAAGCAAACAAACCTGGATGTTCCACAAGCCGTTCAAATAGAAATACGGACGAGACTGCTAATGACGGCGGCGATGAACGATCAGAAAATAAAGAGAAACTGCAAACAAACTTCGACGTGTCTAAAGTTCTCTGGGCTGTGACAAAAATTAATATCTATGAAGATGAAATAAGAACGTATGAAGTCATGGAACCATCTGAAGAACCTCCATCGCGGATACCAGAAACGTCAGACTGCCTATTTATACTAACACCCAAGAGAAAGTAAGACGGACTGCAATTCACTATCGCCCGTAATCTTTGTCCGGATTCAGCGAACACGACGCACATATCAGCCACGTGTTCACTTATTTAATATCCCTTCACGTCAAAATTAAGATCGCTACAGTCACATCAAAAACAATTAATTTGAATTCTACGTTTCTCACTTTCTGTGATTATATAACTTTATTATAATTGGCTCCGTAATTAATATATTTTCTAATTATTTATAAAATATATGGTAAAATTGAAATGTCGCTTACAGACAAAAATTGGCTTGTATCAATGTTCTTGAGTAAAATTAAATACAAATTCACACACATTCCTTTGAATTAAATTGTTTTAATATATTTGCATGCTCGGAGCTGAAATTGTGCTTATGTGGTTCGTAAAGCTCAAACTTCACTAATTTAAATCGGAGCAAATGACTGGGTGCTTCATGCATCGCCGGCTGTGCCCCACCTAAGTCTTTGTCCCTGCAGGGAATGGAAATCCTGCTGGCAAGCCCACTGCCTGTCACTTGATTGACTGAGCTGTCAACAGTATTTGTTCTCGACGTATTCTAGTTATATTAGTCTTTATACGTCTTAATCACAAATGCATTATTTTGTTTCATCAACTGAAAAATAATTACAAACCCTTTATAGCCCGGTAAGTGGTAATTATATGTGCCACCTTCAAAACAGAAAATATCTCCATCAACTGAAAAATAATTACAAACCCTATATAGCCCGGTAAGTGGTAAGTATATGTACCACCTTCAAAACAGACAATTGCTGTGCCTTATTATGTACTCGTATTATTCTCACTGTAAACAGTGATTATTTCCCTAAACACCATTAACCAATTCAGCTTCGTAACGGTGAAGTGCTGTGTTTTCTTTGAGGTACGGGCTGAATGTTTAAGTATTATTTGGGTAAGCATCGGCCTTAAAGGGTCTAGATCACAATGGTATGACAACGTGATTATACTTCCGGTACCAATTCCAGAGAAGCAAACTATACTACCGACTTTTCATCCGAAATCACAATGCTAGGCCTTAAAGTTCAACGATGGACGGGTGACCTAGTTTAGTCCCAAGAGATGTGGCGACATTCCTACATAAGGTCACTACTCATAAAATACAGGGGGCAAAAAACAAATGCATACAAAAAAGGTCTGGCGTCAGCGCACGTGAATAGAATCCATGTCTCCTGAGCGATACAAAAACAAGGCGCTTTCGGAATTGAACACAGAGAGAGAAGCCTTTCGTCTTCTAGGCTG